TTTCCTGTGGTTGCTCGGTGTTAAGGAGTTCCTCGAAATACTCTCTCCATCGACGAAGAATGTCATCATCCTTGGTGTCCAGACCTATCCTTGAAGACTCTTAGATTGCCTTTCTGTTCACCTTGGAGCCTGCAAATGGTCTCCCAAAATACTTTGTTCTCCGTTAGGAAATTCGACTTCAAAACCTACCAAACTTCTCACAGGAATCAGCTTTGGCTTTCGTTGCTGCCTTGCATGCTTCGACATATTGCACGCGAGTAGAAAACTCTTTGTTTCCAAGCCATTTCTTGAATGCAGCGTTCTTCTCTTTAACTGATAGTTGTACCTCTCGTGTCCACCAGGAAGTTTTTTTCTGACCTCCAAGCGGTAGGCTAACGTACTTTTAACTATTACACTCAGCGTCAACCTAGATCAAGCCGCTGTTAAAGGTATTTCATTCACTCAGATTTTCAGTCAGGTTTTTTACGGTATTTCCATTGACAGCCCAAGTGCAGTTTTATATTCTGTTATGTTAATGCTGTTTGTTTGTTCAAAATATTGTATATATTTGTTTTCCTGAAATGTGGGATTTTTTGGTGATCATACTCAATCACTACATTTCTTTCCTTCCTTGATCCATTCATTGTCTCTGTTGTATAAGAAGAAATCCGTCTTTGTTTGAGGGACCACGTTTTTATCATGTTTTTCACTAGGGAAACCATTCCAGCATATCAGTTACAAAGCGGTTTAACCGCAGTGGTTCAGAAACGCGATTGTAGTTCAGCTGATTAATTCAGAATACTCAAATACCATTTATATGCCCAGCCGACCTCCGCGTGTATGCAGGCCCGTACTGAGCAGCTTGTCAATTTAGTCGTACCAGAGTTAGCTGATTAATGTTAAAACCACTTAGCCGAAATTGCAGTGACAAGACTGTATTTGCAGCCGATCTTGTGGCTGTGGTCTCAGTTACAGGGGAGAAACGACAGCATCGTAAAAGAGAGGAAGAATGGACACCCCAGTGACTTGACTAGATGGTGCAACGCTGATCTTCCTCAGAATGGGCAAACAGAAAGGTAAGGGGTGAAAACAAACGAAAGATTCGCCTGTGGTAACGTATGGATGCTAAAAGAATTGGGTAGCCATGCAAAATGTAGTGCAGTCAACTCTGCATACTCTGGAACCATATGAAGGAAATATTCCGAGAATGAAACTTTCTAAAGATGAAAATAAAAGAAGCTTTAGTAATACAGTCAAACCAATGTATGATCAAAGATGTTAGTATGGAAGTAAGTTCGAAGCTAAAACTCCTATTATGTAGTTTGTACTTAAACATACGGGTTTCTGTAACATTGTATCTGTAATATGACGCTCCCTGAAGACGGATCGAACATGATCCAAAACGTTGAAGAACATGTATTCTAATAAATCTTGTGTCGAGCAATCCCGTAATTTACTCGTCAAGTGTTGAACTAAGTTCCCGCATGAAAGAATCCACACCAGTGTTTAATATTCTCAGTTCCTTTTATCGTTTGCTACTAAATCGACTATAACCAAGAAGTTTGCCTCCTCACACGGATCATTTCTGCTGACCGATAAACAGAACAGAATCAACCTGTTGAAATGAAAAAAATTATGGTCTTATTCTTTGAATTTGTATATGCAGTCATACTGTGTACATCATTAGTCGCCTGTGACGCATTTGTGTTTATTAGTACGTTCAAGTAAATTCCTAAACTATTATATTTCAAGAAGATGTTCAGGACCTTTAAGGTCAGACTAACTGAACACTTTCGAACCATTACGAGCACCCTGCTGAACGTTGTGATGCTGTTAGCTGCACCTTACAGGATAATAACTGATTCGACGTTAAAGACGTCTAGGTGATGGACAGAAGATTTTTAATTGACAACTGCCATCCTCCGTTCACAGAGATCACAGCATAAATGTAAAAGTTTGAGCAACAGTTTCAGCACAGGTTTTAGTCCTAAGTGTTAAATGCATTTGTTAACGAATTTGTCTCGTGAAAAACCAGATTTTAGGTTTTGTTTCATTGACTTTTTGTCCTAGTTGCTTGGAGGCATTCATTTACGCTCTGGTTCAAAAGTATTTGAGCGAAACCGGTGTAAGTTCATTTAATATTCAGTTAACAATAAATTTTTCTCGTCATCAATGGTTCACTCTAATGAGGAATGCAATTTGGTTGAAACTTCTTCATTTACAGTGAAGACTACCGTCTGATTGTTTTCTTGCGTCTAGAAGTATAGAAGTAGTATTTTTAGGTGACTTTTTATCCATTCATCCATCTTTCCATCCATTCATACATAAATTAGTGTGAATTTTCGAACATATAAAGTCTCGTAATCACTGTCTTTCTTTTTTTTCATGCTTTTTGTTTTTCTTTGAAAGTTACTAGCTGGCGTCATATTTTAAAAATGTTGTCAAATTTTCTACATTTAATTTAATGCTAGTCCATTGAGTTTCTACCTTTGACGGTTAACTTTGGCCATTTGGAAGGGTCTACTGAAGCAACTGACCCCTTCGATCTGAAACGAATAGTGGGTTTGGAAGCAACTCAATGAAATGTGATACGAATAATCGGTTCTCGACTGTATTAGTTTTGTTTGTAATCCTTTTAATGACATTAGACTCGCGCATTTTTAGTTGATTGGCCTTGAAAACCCTAGTTATGCATTGGAACACTCTGAAGTGTCTGCGAAGAGTAAACAGATGCTCCTGAAAACCACGAACGTAAGTATACTAATTTACCGGATTAGTCATCGTCTAACCTTTAATATTATCATGATTTTAGCTGAACTGTCGGAATTTCGTAAGCGTTCACGAAACCCTGCAATACACCCCTGACCCTGTGGACTCAACCCGGTATGTTGCGGCTGATTTGAATCTTTCGTCATTAGAATTTTGATTCGTTTCCCTTAGGACGTTGATGGAACAATCGGTTTGCATCTCTGTTCGAGGCGTCCCACTAATTAGCTATATGGAAAGCATCTTGACGTCCACGTTTAGCTTTAACGCTGACAAAGTATGCGTTGTTTTTTATCATTAACAGGTATAAAACTTAGCTGAGCTGAGTCTTCGTAACTGGATGAATGTTGGTATTTTAATTTTATAAATCATAAAATGCACGCTGGACAACGTAAAATAACGAATTGATCCTCTGAGACCAGATTTCACTGCGTATTGCACTGCTCCTTGCTCTAGTTGCCTGGGGGAGAGTATTTAACCAGTCCCCGGCTTCATGATATTTAAACAGCATCTGCAAACGTCAAGGAAGCGGTACAGTACATCGTAAAACCTGATCTTGAAGTCATTCTTTGATGTATTTATTGCTTGAATATGTGAGAGATGGCCATATCCGTTCAGCACACTCTCTAAACAGTGTATATAAGGCTGTAGGCATTAATTTAGTAGCTGTTTGCAACATATCACCAAGCGACCGGTGACCCTTCATGAAGCGAACCAAGGCAAAAATAACTGAATGACGTCTCATTTCTGCCCGACAGTACATGGTCACTACTTTCGTTCTTTTATCGAGATGAAGGGATATACAAAATGGCAGTGCCGGGTGAAGCGAATGGTTGCTATCGGAGAGAATACCGGCTACCAAGCGTAGATTTAGTTTGAGGACGCGTTTTGCAAGTCCATTAACAAAACCTTCAAAATCAAAGTAGCCTTTACATGCAGTCAGCATGAGGGTTTGACGCAAGACACGAAGATCGGTTTTGAGCAGTCACGGAAAGAAGATAGGAGAGACATAGGTAAAAATGAAAAATTTGATGAAAAGGATGAGTGGATTTTGAGTCCCTCCTTGAACTGTTTTTCAGTTCCCATTGAATAATCAAGTGATTATCTACTTTTGTCGCTGAGTCATGAATATGGTGTCACGTGAAACAAAATTTCCTATACATAATTATATTTTAATTTATTTTGTATCTTTTAGCGTTCCATTTTTTCTGACTTTTCCCCCACAGTTATGTTGTTCGTGATA